ACATCACGAATAGATTGGTTTCACATACATTTCATCTCAATTTTATTATGGGAATGGGATACTCCGGGCGTGATTAAGCGTAATTGATCTATCACTGCGTCGTGCCGTGTGCGTTATATTTTATAATAAACTTACTGTAGACAGCGCATCTTTAAGGTGCAATTTCATGGAAACCTGGTTGGCTCACCGTCCACCGTCAACATACGAAAAAGTGGCGCTCCTTTCGTCCACAAGTTAACTAGTACGACTAGGCGACGCGACGGTATTAGAAACGCGCTTTTTGAAGGCGTCGCCATATTGACATGCGCAAATTAAAAAATAACGTCTTATTGTTTATGTTACGCTAATTACGCTACAGCAGTGTAAACATTAATATTGGAAATTTAAATTTATATTAATTTATTAATTGTTATTGCTGCAAAATCGCTCTTTAAAATCACAATAAACTTTGTTTATCTGCATAAAAAAAAATCCCAGGCCATCCCTGCATCCCTACTCATCCCTACTTATGCATATGTATACAAATATATACATATGTATACTGTTATCATACTGTCACTATTTCTACTTATTCCATTATTGATAATGTAGAAATTCTTTCGTAATCGTTCACGTGATTATTTTATTATTATTATTATTATTATTATTATTAATATCATCATCTTTATTACACTTTTGTTGTTATGAAAACTTGTTGAAACGTGTTTGATGGATACCTCTCTTACCGGATAATTAAAAAATACATGATATAAAAAATATTTATTATATCAAAATGCCACGAAAAGCTCTAAAAGTAAGCATTGAACAATATGACAGTTAAAAATAATGTTAATTTTTTTTTTATTTACTTTATAGGAGACAGTGGTTTTTGTAACCAATGTGGGTGTCAATGTTGACGGTGAACATGATATGAATTTTTTAGAAAATGCTAAAATCGCTATGGAACGTATTATTGAAAAAAAAGTTTGTAATAACTAATTGTTCATTGATTTATACCGAAATTTACTTTTTTTATATTTAATTATTAATATTAATTGTATTTGATTAACTATTTTAGATTTTTGTAAGACCCAAAGACGAAGTCGGTGTAATACTAATGGGTGTTGAAGATGGTAATAATTCATTAGAATTGAACCTTATTGATAACTATATTAATGTCCAAATGCCGTCATTTGATATAATTGAAAAAATACATGAGATTAAGCCTCAAGATATAGAATTTAAAAACTGGATTTCTGGATTGCAAGCTGCTCTCAAAATGATTTCAGACCAAGTTGAGTTAGTAATTTGATAATTTTATCTTCTAATTACTTGGTAATGAACATCTAAATAAATAAATTGATTATTGCAGAGGCTTGAATCGTATTACGATTATTTTAATAACAGATTGTTATCCAACAAACCCGTTTGGTAATGCTGCTAAAGATAGTCTGATACAAGACATAACAAAAAAAGAAATTAACTTTTTGTGGCTGTAAGTATTTTATTTCTATGTATTACTATGAGTTATGAATGATAGATTGATGAATACTAGCATGTTGCACTCACTATGTGACTGCCGTGACTTGTCAACTATAAATAAATGAAATTTTGCTTAATTAAATAATGATTTTTGTTAAATTGCACTGTACTTTCTTAAATATTGACATTTCTAAAGATATAAGCTCATCCCGATGTTACACTCATTAAAAGCTTTCATTTGAGTACCCACATGCATTTTGATATATTTTTCATATATACAATATATATAAATCTATGAAAAATTGATGTGGGTACTCAAATGAAAGGTCTTGATGAGTGTAACATCGGTATGAGCTTATATCTTTGAAAATGTCAATAGTTTATATGATACAAGGTCATTTTTTTAATATGTATCTAAAAATAGAAAATTTTCGAATGCAACCTAAATATTTATCATAATAAATTGACTATCGGTGAGAATGATATGAAACCTTGAAAAAGCACAAATTCAAATCAAGACCTTTTTGAAATTTTGTTTTATTAAATAATGACTTTTGTAAAATTGCGCTATGGTTTCTTAAATATTGACATTTTTAAAGATATAAACTCATTTCGGTGTTACACTCATCAAGAGCTTTCATTTGAGTACCCACATGCATTTTGATATATTTTTCATATATATATAAATATATGATACATATGAAAAATTGATATGGGTATTCAAATGAAAGGTCTCAACGAGTGCAACATCGGGATGAGCTTATATCTTTAAAAATGTCAATATTTTACAAGACAAAAGGTAATTTCTCAATTATGTATCTACAGATAGAGCATTTTCGAATGTAGCCTAAATACTTATCATGATAAATTGAATATCGGTGAGAATGATATGAAACCTTGAAAAGGCACAATTCCAGGCCAAGACCTTTCTAATGATACCATAAAAACCTATTTCATCATATAAATACGTTGGCCAAAAAATTTTTCTTATTCTCCTAATAATATAGATTAATTTTTTTTACAGTGGAAGCAAAGATTTAAAAAATTTAGAAGACGAGAAACTGAATGTAAATGAACGTATGCTTTTTGACTTAACTCAAAAGGTATAATTAGTTTTCGAAAATTCAAAAATAAAAATTTATTACTGGATAATTGGATAATTGTAAATGTTATTAATAGGTTGAAGGAGAATATATGTCCTTATCTTTTGTATTACCAAAGTTAGAATTTTATGGCGCTCATAAAACATCTCCGACGGCTTGGAAATGTAATTTGGAGATCGGAACTCTGAAAATTCCTGTTGCTATATACATTTCAGTGAGTCAATCATTTATTTTTTTGTTATACACTTTTCTATTTTTCTGTAATCGTTAATGGTGTTTTTTTAATTAGATTACTGAAGTACAGCCGTTGAACAAGTGGCAGGATATTTCAACCTCCTTTGATCCCAATAGTGCAGAAGAGTTGCACTCAGTGAGTAAAAAACGGGTCTTGGCTGATCGCTACCGAGAAGAATACAAACTTGAAGATACTGTTCAAGGCTATATGTACGGAAGAAAATTTATTCCACTTACTGAAGAAGATTCGGCTGTTTTAAAATTACCTTCTGAAGAAAAGTCATTCAAACTTTATGGATTTTCTCCAGAAAAATTCGTGAAGCTTGATTATCGTCACGGAAAAAAAACTCATGTTATTTTACCATTAGAAGTAAGTTTATTTTACATATTATTATTAATAATCATGATAATGAATGACCAATGATAATTTAATCACAATTTACTAATTTAAACAATTTAAGGGAGCAGAAGAAGAATTTTTCTGTCTGGTAAAGGCGATGGCTGACTTGCAACGGGTAGCTCTTGTCCGGAAAATTTACAATAGAAACTGTAGCCCTTCAATGCACGTTCTATATCCACAAATTGGTAATGGTGATAAACCATGGGTATGTTAGAATTATAATTATAAATAGAAAATTATTCTTTCAATTCTTTTAAAGTTTTTTATTATTGAAAATGGCATGTCACTGAACATATGAAGAGCGCGAAATAATAAATTGTCAATTATTATTAAGAATAATTATTCAATTGCAGTGCTTTTTCATGTATGAATTAATCTATTCGGAAGAACGTCTTATAATAACACCACGTTCCTACGATAATGTGCTCAAAAACATACGGCAAGAACAATTAGATTGTGTTGATAAGCTAATAAATTTAATGACGCTTGGACAGTCTACGTAAGTAATTGATATTTTTATTATACTAGCTGTTACACGCCCGCTTTGCTAGGAATTTTATAGAATTGTATTTTTAGATCTAAACTTGAAATTTAATTGGAGTATTTGTTTAGACTTGCACAAATTCCATCGAATTGGTCTGTACCTTTTATCCATATAATTATTCTAGCTAATATTCATTGTAACTTTCAATGCGCAATCTCTATAACGTTCGCGTGACTTTTTTTTTAAAATGAATAATAATTGACACGAAGAAAAAAATTTGAAATGAGCATTAAAACGTCTCTCTAATATCAAACTCGAAGCCGCAAAACAAATTAAATAATTGCTGATTATCATTTTACCTCTATTATAACTTTACTTATCGTGGTAAATTCATTAATTTTCTCCCATTATTATTATCTGCACTATTACAAACTCATTAGTTCTCTCTTGTACATATATCTATTTCAATTTCACTATATAAAGCCGATTATATAATAATAATAACAAATATAAATAATGCTGTGAAGCGGGAAAGAATAGGAGTTACAGATATAATTATTACGTGAAGCGTTCCAACATTCACGTAACAGGATATTTTGGTAGGAAAGGATTGTGGAGAGGAACTTCTTAATGTGAGTGTATAGAATATGTGAGAAAAAATTATTAGATAGCTCGGACTGGGATTCGAACCCAGAACCTTCCGAAGACATGTCGGCTACTCTACCATTTGAGCTATCCGGTCTATACTAAATTTCCTTTCACTTATTCTATATATACATTAAGCCACACCGTCCATCTTACGGTTAGCATTTTTAACAAATATAAATAATTGGCGTTAATTCAATAAAAAAAAATAAAATAAAAAGTTTCAGTTAAAGTAATTGCAGGTTTCATAAGTGAAGTTGAAATATGCCTAGCTTAAAGTGCAAAAAATTTTGCTATTAATTAAAATTTTCACCGTGACATCAGTTTTTCATAGAAAATTAATTGTACTTGTTTTTTACAAATTTTTTTAAAATAAGTAACCAAATTTCTTTTTTACATCTCAAGTATTTAGAAAATGCATTCATTTTAATCTGTTACATTCTTGTTTATATTATATATAGGAATTTTATTTGTATGACTTTCGTCTTTCATAAGATATTTATATTATTTTATTGCTTTTTTAAGTTGCTTCATCAGTACTTACGATAATATAAGCGTTTGATTGAAGTGATACAATTTTAAAAAGAAATTATCTTTATAAGTACGTCGTAGACTTATATTGTCACCTCATTAAACATGTTTTTCAAACGTGACATTTTCGAATTATAATGATATAATTTATCTACGATAAAATCGGTTACATATCATTCATAATAATATTTATTATTGCTGTACATACATTATTGCTTACTACTTATTTTGTCATTTTTAATTATAATCTCAATTAAAATTTCTTGATAAATATAGTTTCTTCTACCGTTCTAAGAAATCAGACAAATTAATTCCACAAACTCAATAGTAAATTATTTTAATTGATGAAACCATTCTATTAGAAGAAATAAAATTTATCCTCAATTGTGCGTTGCATATCTTTGAATAATTATGTGCTTTAGAAGAATTAGTTTGAATTTATCTGAACATGATATATACAGACCCTCAATAAATGTCCAACCAGACAATTGGACTGTTTCAAATGAAGCTATGGTTCGTCGTAAAAAAATATCCATTATTTCAACGTTACTGATAATAGCTATCGCTATATTAATATCGTTAATATACGGTCTTATATCTATGTATTTTTCTCTCACTGCTATTACTGTGCGTTCATTTGCCATAAGTCTGGTACTGTCATTAACGTTTTTTGCTATTCACAGACTTTTTGTGAAATAAATGGTTTAATAACACAAAAATTAATTCACTCTATCGCCACTGTGCAAGAAAATATTTATATTACACAATTAAAAATTTTTAAAAGTCGCAATATTTTTTTTTCTGATTTTTATTTTTTAATTAATACTTTTATTAGACAAGAGAATATTTTGTCAATTAGTGTAATTTAATTCGATTATCTTGTAATACAATTATAAATGACAAACTAAAATTAATTGATATATTATAAATAGCTAAAAGGTACCACAAAATAATTATAACAAGATGAATTCCGAAAAAAAACTTGATTTTAAAAGCTATCCCAGTTACTACAAGCCAAGTTATAAAATTTATGAAAACAAAATAATTTCTATGTGTATATCATTAATTCTAATTATTTTGTAATTATTTGAGCAAGATTTCGTTACGGCTATTTGTCTCATTTTTATCAGCATTATTTTATATCTCATAAAAATATACATTGAAATAAATTTCACGTCTAAGCTTGAATAATAATTATAAATTATATTATATATATATATATATATTAAAAATTTTTATATAAATTCCTTTTCTCATACTAAATAAAATACTATTATTTATAAAAATTTTCTAAAAAAAACTAGAAAAATAGTTAAATTCTAAATTTTGCACAACTTTTGAAAAGGACTTTTAATATTAAAGAAAGCTTCCCACTAAATTTCTTTGAATTTAAAAACGGTCGATATAACGATTGGTCGATTTGACATGGAATGACTCTATTATTATTATCATAATAAATTATTTTTGTTAACAGTATTCCCGAAGATGAAAACAAGACCTATGAAACTTGTTCCGTAGAATCTCCAGACTTACAACACATATGGAATACACTATCATTAAGAGCATTTGATCCAGAAGCACCAATACCGGAACCTAAATTGTCTGTATTGAAGCCTATTCAACCACCGGAATGGAAGAATCCAACTGAATTAGCAAACTGTATCACTGATATTATCAGCGCTTATGAAATAAAAGACGAACCAAAAAAGACATTTGAACCTGTTGACATTATCGATGTCTCTCAACTGACGCAGCCACAAACTATGTACGTTTTTTTAATCTTTCGAATTTTTTAATAACTTAAAAAATTAATTTTATCGTTATTTTCAGTAAAAAGAATACTGAGCCTGGAGATTTTCTTCCACCTCCGATGGATGTTGATTTAGACGCACTGGTGTGTATAATTAATTTTACAATTCAACTATATATTTCGTAAAAATAAATTTAATTTAATTATTTTTTATTGTAGTTCACTGATTAAGCAGTACCTGGTCAATTTATAAGCACAGTTGTTAACTTTTCACATATTTTTAATAAGAAAAAATATTTTTCAAACTTAAAGTTGAGTAAGTGTAAGTAATTTATATTTTTAAATAAATAATAATAGATAATAAATCATTAAAAATGAACAAAAGTTTTCAATTTTTTAATTTAAAAACGTCTAAATTTCCAACGCGAGTACTAAAAAAATGTAAATCTAATTAGTGGTAAAAGAAATTTAACTAAACTACTAGTAAAGTATACCTTTTCTTCTTTCTTTATGATAATGATAATATCACTATTATATCCTAACTGTGTCATCGATAGACATTTTGAGTTCTATTTTTATTTAAATATTTGATGAGTAATTAAAGTTTGAATCTAAAAGAATTCACGACAGCATGTTGTGTTAATATAATTAGATGAATATTCATATTAATCTACCATTAACATCAATATTTTTTTTCTTATAAATATTTAAAAGATTAATAACTCAATTATCAAAATAATTACATGCAAGCTATACGGCTGCCGAGATTTACGGATTATGAATAAGAAAACTTTGGTTTAATGATTTTGCTATATTTATAATCACAGTACACAGTTTGAGTAATTTTTAAATAAATTTTAAAAATAATTGATCAATTACAAATAATTTAATGGTCAAATGTGACAGAACAAATTTATAGAACTTATCAAGACCGTTCTGATGATATCAAATTTAACTATAAAAATTCCTTTCAAAATTATAACATGCTTGTCACCAAATTTTCCTTACTCTTTCAATTATTTAAATCATAAATAACTATCAGTGAAAAAATATCAAAACCAATTTACGATAAAAATATACCACCCGTTACAAAATTATTCTTAGTCTCTTAATTATATAAATTAATTTCCGACGTATTCTTACATTCACATGTACAAAATAAAATAAATAAATAAATAAACAATTTTTGTTTATTGCAAATTTCTAATCTATCTACAACTACTCCGAAAATTTGTCATAATAAATTAACTGTTGCTAAAAAACATATGAAACATTGAAAAGACACAAATCCAGATCAAGAACTTTCCAATGAGACTAAATTTAATTTAAAAAACTCATTTTATCATATAAATATGTCGGAGACAAAATTTTCTTTATTCTTTTTTAATTATATAGATGATTGATGATGAATCATCAAAAATAAACAAAATTTTTTCAATCTCTTGATTTAAACCTTGCCTTACAAGAGTCTTACAAGAGCTAATTGTAATATTGCTTTGAGTATTACAAGGGAATCAATGATCATCTCATTTTATTACAAATACATCTAATTTAAATTTGATTCTTTTATTTAGAAAGACGTTAAAATCAAAATTTTATTGCTCTTGAAATTTATAATCATTTTGTATTTTCTTCAGTACAATATAAAAACACTTGCTTATTTTGAGTATCATTACTTCGTAAAATATTGAACACGAATATCAATATAATGAGTTCAGACCAAGAAAATTTGGAAAAATCACCAGAAAAACCATGGCAACCGCCATCTCCTCCACCAAAGTCAGATCCGGAACCTCCAAAGTCTCTTCCATCAAAGCCGGTTCCGCAATTACAACTTAGATCTCCGCCGCAGGAAGAATCCAGCCCGCCAAATCTATATGTAGGCCATGGGCGTAAAAGTAAATCTCTTAACGTAATATGTATTCTATTATGTATTTTATCGATAGTTTCAATAGCAGTAACTCTCTACCTAAAGTCTCAATGGTCTAATTATACAATGTTTGCAGCAATCGCAAGCGTGATTTTCAGTTTATTGGGAGGTTCTCTTTTCATATACAAGCTAATAAGGTCTGATGATCCCAATACATACAATAATTACTATTATGAGCATTAAATATACCAAAATTTATAATTTGATGACATTTATATTTCTATATATTTAATTATACAACTCATGATTTATTCAAATATTTTTATTAATTTTAATAATTGAAAATGCAATTTTTCTAAAAATATTCATCCTTATTATAGAAGGACAATCTAGTCATTAAAAAAACAATATTATTTGTAATATATAAAGAAATTCTTGATTCGCAATAATGGAAAATGATTATGAAAAATTATCAGTGGAATCAGTTGATACTGATCAAACAAATAATGGCGATAGTAAGCAAAAATTAATCATTGGAATATTTATAACACTCGTATTATTATCAATAATTTCTTCAGCAGCCGGGATGGCTTTAAGATTCGGGTTTGGATTTGATTATGGAGTTTATTTCATTACCACAGGTGTAATTTTAGCTGCGGTAGCTTCCGGACTTACCTTTTATTTCACACGTCAACCGTTGAATAGTGAAAAATCTGAAATTTGATTGGGATTCAACATTTAACAATTTTTACATTAATAAAAATAAATACAAATTCAAAAGATGCTTATTAATAAACTGAATAAATAATTAGACATGAAATTACCGAGAATTAACGACTTTAAAACAGTCACTTCATATTGTTGATATTGATTACAACTTACACAATTTTTTTATGTGTTCATTTTATTTTTGTAAAGTAGATTTATTGTAGAAGATAAAACCACAAATTATCAATGAATTAAAGGAATTATTAACAATTTGTATTTTATTAAATTGTTAAAAAATAATATTCATAAATTTGAAAACGGTAAAAAGTAATATTAACAAAACAAGCAGTAGCAATAAAGCAAAAATAATTAAAATACAGATTATTGTTTGGATAGTTGTGACGTCAATTTTAATGACTGTATGCGGAAATTGGGGGTAATTTCAGTCCTTTTCTCTCTGCAAAAATTCTTAACATTCCTTAAAGTTCTTTAGAAAATTTTTTTTGTTTGTTAAAAGAAGAACATTAATTAGAAGATTGATAATCTACAATATTATTGTCACCATGTCTTCAGAAAGAAAAGTTTTTGATTGAAAGATATTTGATGAACTTTTCTTAGTGAGAATCACAAAGTTCATAAACAACGGACCAATCAAGACAAACATAAGAAAGTTAACTTGATTCAAGAGAAAAAAATTTTAAAGTAAGATACTGTTTGAAGAAAATGATTTTATTAAGCCAAAAAAAATTATTATTGATTTAAGTGAATTTTTCTTGGCTCAAAAATTTTTTTTCTCTTAAATCAAATTATTATTTATAAATTATTTTAAATATTTATTATTAATATAAATTCAATTATTTATTTAGGTAGTAAAAATAAATTTTATTCAATTATTTTTTTTTTTGCAGTTCACTGATTAAACAGTATCTGGTCAATTTAGAAGCACAGTTGTTAACTTTTCACATATTTTTAATAAGAAAAAATATTTTTCCAACTTAAAGTTGAGTAAGTGTAATTTATATTTTTAAATAAATAATGATTGATAAAAAAAATTTTTTTGTGTTGCCTTGGATATTTTTGCAAATTTTTATGTTTTCGAGTACCTAAATTACGAATATATTCATGAAAATACTGAATGTGCTCTTTTTTTTATGATTTTTACGTATCTTATATTTTGAACAATTATCAGCTTGTTAGTACTAAAATTTGTTTTCCCAGTCCTGATTAAGCTTCTGCGCAACTTTTTTGCGCATACAAACATCACTTGATCTCCACTCTCAGACTCCTTGCTCCGCAAAACAGCTGATAACTCAGTTATTTGATAATATTGAAGTACTTACACGTGAATCTGGATAAGTTGTCATATGTTAATATTTTGATTCAATTGCTGAGTGTTCATTCTAATATATTTGACTTGTCTTTTTAAACATGAGTTCGTCACGAAGAAAGTGTAAATATAATAGTGATTTATTTTGTTATATTTGTGGTATTTATATATTAAAAAAAACAAAAACGAAATATCACAGACTTTGTTAAGGAGACTTATGCTGAATATTTCGGTTTTAAAATGGACAAATTAGATAAATCATGGGTTCCGAATAAAGTTTGTAAGTCCTGTCTTGAGTCTTTGCGGTTGTGGAAAAAAGGAAAACGTTTTGGATTAGACTTTGGTATTCCTATGATCTGGATTGTAACGGAGTACACGGGGCCTTCTTTACCCAGAGAAGGTTTCCGATCCGTGAGTTAGTTATCGACTGATTCCCCAGAGCGCTGTGCTCCGAAGTACTCGCGCCTCTAGTTGTAAGTTAGTGAGTAAGTCCCCAAGAGGGAAGCGCCGGCGCGGAGAGTGAGTGGGGAAGACGGAGCGAAGAAAGATCATAAGGGAACCGTTGGTGAACAGAGACAAAATCATACTTTCACCATTACATATTAAGTTAGGAATGGAAAAGCAATTCGTTAAAGATTTGGACAAGGAAGGGGATTTTTTTAAATACATTTGTCGAAAATTTCTGAAGCTTAGTATGGAAAAGTTGAAAGGTGGAATATTTGATGGTCCTCAAATACGGCAATTGATAAAAGACGCAGATTTTATTAAAGTTATGACTGTTCCGGATAGTGAAGCTTGGGAAAGTTTTGTGTTGGTAATTGAAAATTTCCTAGGTAACCATAAAGCACTAAATTATGAAGAAATTGTACAAAATATGCTGACAAACTTTCAGACTCTAGGAGCAAATATGAGTATCAATTTACACTATCTCCGCAATCATTTGGATAAATTTCTAGATAATTTAGGAAATTATAGTGAGGAACAAGAAAGCGGTTCCACTAGGATCTGAAAGTAATGGAAGAAAGATATCAGGGTCGATGGGACTGTTATATGATGGCAGATTACTGCTGGTCTTTAAAAAGAGATTTTCCCCGGAAAAATTATAAAAGAAAAGCTCTTAAAAGGCGTTTTATGGAAATATAACATGTTTTCCAAATTTTCCTCTCTATTTACTTCGATATATCATATTTTTATCCAAATAAAACTGACATTATAAATATATCTGTTATTTTGTTTCTCGTTTTCCGATTTTTGTAATGTAAAATAAAAATAAGTATTTAA